TTAAAACTGTGTTGGAGCCTTGAAATGTGTATTTTTAATTAATCCATAGGAATTTCTGATACACATCTGATGATACTCATCTCTTTCTATCCTTAAACATGGCTATACTCATTATCAGTAGTAATAGTGGGAGCTAAGCTTAGCTTCAGTGCAAATGGCATTTCAGAGCACAGCACTTGAGCTTCTCTTGTCAATTATACTCTTAACAGCAAGAAATTTGAATGGCACATTTCCATGAATACCACACCTACTGACTCAGGATCTATGTTTTAGCAAAATGACCAGGTGATTTATTTGCATGTTAAACTTCAGAAGCACTCTCCAAGAATAATAACTTGACAGTTTGCAGATCTTACCCTAGAGTCAGTAAAACGGTTGCAGTCAGCATAGGAGCACCTCAAAACTCAACTTCCTTGGGATGGTTTTTGTTTATAGTTGATTTGAACAGAGTTGCTCTTCAGAGTGAGAACTAGAGCAGATAACTTGTTAGTTTGTAATACATATGTTAACTAAATTTGGAAACAAAGCAGAATTTCTAAGATGTTCTGCCTCTCTACTGAAAGGAGCTAGATGTGATTCCTTTTGCCTTTTAGGGTTCAACGTCCCTGAAGTAAAAGAATATATATATTTCTTTATCTGTTCTATTTTACTATGTGTTAAAATGCAGATACAATCATGACATCTGTAAATAAACAATGTTAGACAAATATGAGTGAATCCTATCTACTGGCCCAGCACTTAGTATTTTGGGGACAGTACTTTGGGGGCAAAATAGACAGCAAGTAAACCTTGCCACAAGGTCTTGTCACCTAATTCATGGCCTTTTGCAAGAGTTTAAGGATCACTCTTGCATGTGATCAGGGTATTCATAATCACCATGTGATCATCCTCTGAACCACTGATTCCCAGGCAGCAGTCTAGGGACTACTACTTGATGAAAATTGCATTTCTAGTGCACAAGACCCTTACTTGATCCCCAGCACTAAAAAGAAAAAGAAAAAAAAAGTCTTCAGATGTGCAGAGTGTTCCTTGTTTACTGGAAAGTATCATTATGTGAAGAAAAATAAAATCTTAAATTCCTAATAAAATGTAATACACCAAAGCTGAGGCAAAAGGATTGTGAGTTCAAGGCCAGCCTGGACTATATTAGGGAAATGCTGTCTCCAAATAAAAAAATTAATAATAATAAAGTAACTTTATTACACAATGATATTTATCATTATCTTAGAAGTCAATGTAATTTTTACTTTATTATTTGTCAGTTATCATTGGGCCTATTATACCACTACCAGTAATAAAGATCTAGTTGTAAATATGACTAGATTACCCTCAATTCCAAGCAGGAAAAGTTCCACTAAAGACAGGCATAGGTATTCTTGAAAAAGGAACTCCCTAAAAATTAAGTTAACATTAGAACTCCAGTTGAAATATCTCTGGTCCATTATTCATTCTTTCATGTCTTCATAGAACAAACATTTGTCAAATACCAGCTTTGTTCCAGCCACTATAATCTACACAAGACATACAAAAACAAATAAGTCTTTGACCTTAAGTTCACAGAGTATCATAGTGGTAGAGATACATGTGGAAATAATTTCAACAGGGATATTTGCTCATATTCATCATGGAGAGGTGAAGTGGATCAAGCCCAAAGGAGAACGGTTCAAATGCATCACATAAGACACCACTTTCTGCTTCCTTTGTGGACCGACTATAGAAGAATATTTAACTTCTGAGACAATCAGTTGAACAATCTAAAACATACTCGTTCTCCACCACTACCCCCCATAAAAACCAAACCTTCTTCTGTACATGTAATCCTAGATTGTTGACTGGCACTCCCATTCATATAGTCTCCCTAAGCAGAAAAATGAGAGGCTCCTGTTCTCTTTTTCCATCACTCTTAGTGGCCAATCTGTAGTCAGCAACTGTCAGTTTAATGTCTGTGTCCTTTTCACTATCCCTTCTGTTTGTCTCTATCCACTGCTAATGTTTCTGCCTCAGACTTAGACAACTGTAGCTTTCTCTCAGTAGGTCTCCCCATCTTGAGACTTACCTCTTTCCAATCCTTTCTCTTTGTGTCAGTTTAAATGTGGCTCTGCTTCCTTTGGGAAAAGATCTAAAGTCCTTAGTATTTGTATAGCTGAGTACTAGTGCTTAAGCCACACTGCTTGGATTCAGATCCTTTCTCCATCACTTAATACCTATGGAGCAGAGGTCACTTGGCTTCAAAGTGCCTCTCATTTCCCTCATTTATAAAACAGAGATCAAAATGGAATCTCCTTCATTAGGGTTATTGTGAAGGTTAATTGGGTTAATACTATCCATATAAAGTACTTATCCACACCTGGCACAAAATAAGCATAGTAAGTCAAGCTCCCAAATACAACTTAATACTTCCCAAACCATAAGTTCCTTTATACGTGAAAACTGAGTGTTCATGATTTTGTTCCTCTAGACCTTTGCAGTGATAAGCAGCTTGGTTCAAGTATATGTGTGTAACTTGAAAAAAATAAAAAACTGGGAGTTAAACATTCAAAAAGAAGAACAGAGGAATAGTAGAGAGTTTGCAGTAAAGCCTTGAGAAAAAATTACAACGGTACTATTGAAAAATATGGGCTACTGAGCTTTGTGCAAGAATTGCTAGTGGAGGTGGTATCAGGATACTGGCAGAATGCATGTAAATTCAAAGTAGCTTACAAATATATAAGAATTCAAAACAGCATTGAAAATGCCATTTAATGCTGTTATTTTAAAAAGAAACAGAGTTGGGGAAATTTTTTTTGGAACTGGAAGAAACAGAATACAGTATTTGAGCTTAGACTAAATTTATGTTTATTATACTTAACATTGTGACTTTGGGAAGTTATTAAACTTTTCTACTCTATTCTCTCATCTGAAGATGGAATTATACTAGCTCTAACAAATAAGATACTAGGATTAATGGAGAAAATGTGCTAAAGCATTTTGCTGCTGACATAGAAAGAGCAAGTGCCCAATAAATGTCAGTTCCTGCTGCTGGTGGTGATTATTAGCACCATGTGCTTATTTTCTACAGTCAGGGAAAATATATTGACAAATATCTCCATCAAAGTTGGGGAGAAGACTGCAAACAATGCCTGTTATTTCCTCCTTGGCAGGTAATATTTACTAAAGTTACTTTTAACATTATGCTGCCTTTTGTTCTGGTAGATACAAAATACTATCGTAGTTTAATAAGTACATTACTTAGCTCTGTGTCCCCCATCTTATGTTTCATGTGAGGATTTAGTTTCCTATAACATTTAGCCTACAACTGAAGAATATACTCTACAGCTGAATAACTATAGAATTCCATGATTTCATTGCCCAATTTAATAAATATAAATTGCTAACATCAATTTCATGAATAGTACTTCTAAAGTGCTTGTATCTTTTAAATATTTTCCCTATTGCCATGTATACTCTTGTTCTTCTCTGGTATTGATAAATAATTTTATGAACGGTTTGATTTAGCAGACTTGTTAATGTGAGTATGTATGAATTATGGGCTACTGGTCCTCTCCTTTGGGATACCTTTCTTCTCCAGCTCAGCTATGTCATTCACTATTCCACTCCCAATTACTCTGCTTAGCCTCTATCTCTCTTTCTTTATCCTTTTATCTTATTTGTACCTTCAAACAAATTGTGAGGACTTTAACCTTAATGGCGAAGTACCAGTGAGTGAGCCAATCAATTATTCAATGAAGAATACCATAAATATTAAGATAGTAAGATTAAAATTAAATGTAACAGAAAAACAATAGTAGTCTGATTCCAAAGACTGTTGTATAGTAGCTGTCTTTCTTCCCTTCTACAAATGCCAAAGGCTGTACCCTCATTTCTTTATCCTGGTTACTACCTAGGCCATAGCCAGAAAAAGCAACAGGTCCAGGCTTCCACCTTGGCAGGTTAAAGAGAGGTCCTGACAAAACTGCTTATAATATTAGGCCCTGCAATTGGAAACATTAGACCTTGCACATTTCAACTCTTCAAGATACTGTATAGGGAAAAAGGAATAGTACAGATAGGAAAAAGATTGCTTTGTATATCTAGTAATTGCATTATTTATCTCTTTGTTCACATATACTTGTGGTATATAATCATGTAATAAGCAGTTGATAGACATAAATCAACATAGAAAATTGCCACCTGGTCCTGTTGAAACTATTTCAGGAATTGGGAATACAGTAGAATGATGGAGGGGGTGAATTCAACTATTTTAAGAACTTTTGTAAATGTCACAATGTACCCCAGTACAACAATAATATGATAATAAGAAAATTTTTTAAATAAAAATTTGACTGGGGAGGTGTAGCTCAATGATATAGCATGTGCTTAGCACATGCAAGGACCTGGGGTCAATTCCCTGTGCCAAAATAAATAAATAAATGAATATAAGTTTTATTAAAAAAAGAAAATTGCCACTTTGGCCACTCAGCACATATCAATAGAAGAACTAACTTCTCTGTACATGAAAAATAATCAGAAATAAGTTTGTAGATTTAACAGAAAGCAGCCTGAAAGACTGGCAGGCATATCTGTAGCCTCAGTATATCCCTTTACTCCTTTTCTGTGGTAACTCAGCCTAAGGTCACAGGTCATTCAGAATGTTAACCCAGTGTGTCGTAGCTTTCCCCCTTGCAAGAACCCCAAGAATTGCTGCCATTTGGCCTGTTTCCAGGAAGAAGGTTTGAACAGCTGCCCTGACAAATGGGTTTCCCCCATTTAAGCAATCAAATGGGGCAAGGGAGGGGTTCTGAGGGGGAGGGAAGAGAGAGGTGGCTTTGCCATATTCTGTGCCTCTGGGTTACAGAAGTTTTTAAAATGATAATAAAATTCTCTCTGACGCTATGTATTTTTCTTGTTAGAGATAGGTAAATATCTATAATCCTTTTAATGCAGGAGGTCAGAAATCATCTACTGGAATATGTAGAATTGGTTTCAGATTTTCTTTTTTTCTCTTATTTGGCCTCTCCCAGACAGTAAGGATTGTATTCTGGAGCCGCTTTCCCTGCCAGAAAGTCCAGGTGGCGACACCACTTTTGAAGGTTCTCCATCTGTGCCTTGTATTTTCTGTGAAGAACATTTTCCTGTGGCTGAACAAGACAAACTTCTGAAACACATGATTATTGAGCATAAGATTGTCATAGCTGATGTGAAGTTGGTTGCTGATTTCCAAAGGTAAATTTGGTTTTGTCTTTAAAAGAATTAAATTCATTATTGACTAGAAAAATGATATTACCTATATATAAAACAATTCCTTCACAAATAAGGAAGTTCATAATCTTTTTCAGGTTTTTCCCCAAACTTCAAAAAAAAAAAAAAATCACACTTTTTTTTTTCCTCAAGCATGTAAATTGCACTTGAGAATGTCAAATACTGATGCATTTCCTACAGATTTTGGAAACTGACTAAGTTTCCAAAGAGTAGATCATATTCCCTTTGCCACATTCCATGAGACCATTGATTCTCAGATTAATGTTCTTTTCATGGTTTAGGCCATAGACGTTCTCTAACTGAGTGGGTCTCCCAAAAGCCCAGAAAAGCCTTGGTAACAGGCCACCCAAAAGGCAGAGTTTGGGAATAAGGATCCTTGAAACATTTTAGTTCAGTAACTGTAGTACTAAGAGGAAGAATGAGGAAGATGAAAAAGCAGATAGTGCTTTTGAGGAACTGCCAACATTGAACAGGTATGAAATGTTCATTTTGTATAGAACCTGACCTATGTAGCTAGTGAGCTACACTGGACTGAGGAGCACATGACTTAGAATGATCTGGACCAGCAGATGAGTAATACAGGCAAAATTCATTTTTTCTCAATTATAATTTCTGGAAATGTCCAAGAGAAATACCTTCTCTTAAGCAGCTTTAGTAGACTTTTTATGTCATGATTAACAACTAAAGCTTGGAAAACCTATTTCATAGAAGCAACATCATGGCAGTTACTGACTTAGTTACTAAAAACATACAAGTTGGCATATCTGGTAAGGTCCCACTTTGTGCTGATTTCATTGAAAAATATTAGAGTAGATAATCTAAGCTCTATATCCATCATTACTACCAAGTAACTTCTTTCTTAGGATGGACCTTCCAAAGCAGCAAGATTTATTATTAAGAGCGGACTGTGAAATAGGCAGGACTAAAATTGAAAGTTTGAAACGTCCTAGCCTTGTGACTTCCAGCAAACTGCTTAATCTACCTAACGGTCTGGTCACTTACAAAATGAGAGTGATACTAGCCTTCATAAAGTTGTTGAATAGTATATAAAATGTGGTGTCTGTAGCACCTGTAGTACCTGTGACATAGTGTACCTGATTAATGGTGGCCAAAATTTTATTTGTATTTTCATTACTGAAAGATACATTTGAAATCTAAGTTTTCTACAACTATAGATTAAGTTTTCTATAAGCAGCTGTGCTGGTTTGAAAACGTAATTGTCATTTGTAAAATTTAATTTTTGAGAAAATTTTATTTAGGTTTCTAAATAATCTAAATTTCTAGAAAGACAGTTTGAACTAAAGTTAGGATAGCCATCATTCCAACAGGGGTAATATTAGCTATTCTTCAACTCTGGTCTCTATCCCTAATATCCTTCTCAAGGACACTGAATACTTGCAGTGTGCCTTCTGTGTATATATGGCCCCTGCACCCATACAATATTGCTATTTTTGACTGGATTTTGATGCTGCCTAGTTAGGGAACAGAGATAGAACAGAGCAAGAAAGAAGAATTAGATGAATGACATATGTTACCAACTGGTAAAATGAACTGATTCTTTACCTTCTTTCAGAACAAGCATTCTGTGCTTCTCATTCATCATTCTTTATTTTTAAATTAAAGTTTGTGTGTGTGTGTGTATGTGAGCATGTGTGCACACACGCACGTTTCTATATGTGTTCATGTTTGTTCATTCTTGAAATATTCTGCAAGCTTTCTCATATATGATACCTAATTATAGGATATAGTCAAATCTGTCGACTTTTGTTTTAGACACTTGCTGGGGTAGACATTTTCCAATTCTTTTCTTATCCAAATAACCACTGACAGAACTATTAAGTGTGTGAGTCTTGTATTGCTCAGCTTTTCTTTGTTATGAAACTCCTTACCATATAAACACAAAATATCCTTCATGAATTATAGGAAAATATGATTATCTACCAATGATAATTGAAAAGTGTGAAGATTTTCTTCTCTCTTCTACCTTTAAGATCTAAGGAATGTCAAAGGAATGTCTCAATCAGAAATTGTGTTTTCTCCTTTGTGTGTATGTATAAATATAAATAAATATAACTTAGTAGCTATATTTGTAGTGATCAATCTGTTGTCATTGATATTAATCTTACTGTCCATATGCAGGCAAGAAAATCAAATTATTTAACTAGATCTCATGGCTTAAGAATCAATAATTAAATGTTGAGATAAATCATGCCCTAAACACAGATAGGCAATAAAATTGATGGTTTTTTTAGTTACAGAAAAAGATACATATTTGATTTAAGTGCTTTCTAAAGTGTGTAGCTGATACGCATTTTAAATTTGGAAACCTAGATCTTTTTTGTTAACTATCCTCCTTACTTAAATTAAGTTTTCACTTTCAATAAGTAAAAATGAGATGAATTCAAATTCACCCCAAATCTGAGTAAAGTCTATTGCTTTAAATTACATTTTAATATATCCAGTCTCCTTTAAATAGTAACCTCCTACAATTCAGTGAAACTAAAAATTCCTCTGCAAAACAAGTGTGACTTTGTGATCAGATTTAAATTAGAATCTTCTCAACATTACATGGCTTATTCCTAATTTCAGGGAAAAAAGCTGTAAGAGGTGAGATGAGAAGGAGGGAATAATGAGAACATCAGTTGGCATGAATGAACTCACTCAGAACTTCTCAAGAGAGTTGCTGGTTCCAAGTATAATAAGCAATAGAGATGATAAATAATACATACAAGATGAACTTATCTTTGTGACTTTGTGCTATATAAGAAATAAGCTACAGGTTTCCATATTAAATATGTGGGATATTTTCTTTATTGAAAAAGAGTAACAGTCAAACATCCTGTGGCAGAGGAAATAAAATAAAAACAAAAAAATTTTTCCATTGAGCCCATTTAACATTGTTATTTATACTAAGCTATTTGCTGGCTTTATTCAGTAGATAAAATTGCCCTAGAGGTAAATGTTAACTCCTTAATTCTTGCTTCTTGTGAAATACATTCCACTCATTTGTTGCTATTTAATTACCAACTGAAACCTTTATATCTTTGTCAATAAATACACAGTTATAATTAGGATAGACAGCATTTTGCTACAAGAATTTTTTGACACAGCTCTATGAAATATGATTTGAAGTTCTTTTGAAAGAAAAAAAATGTACTGATGACTTACTGGTTACTTTTATGGCCTTTTAATAAAGCTCAAAATACGTTTACAACTGTCATCCCAATAAAGAATTCATTTATCATATATTATCTCATATGATAATATGAGCAGCCTTTGTATATTGAGAAGCAACAATTGTGGCTTTAGAAAACTAGAGACATAGGAAAAAATGAAGAAGAGCAGTACAAAATGGTACCCTAACTTTGAAAAGTATATTCTAGGATAGGAAAAAAATGGCACAAGAAGCATATCCTGGGAGCCAGATACGGTGGTATGCACCAGTAATTCCAGCTACTAGGGAGCAGAGTTAAAGATAGTTACCCCAGGCTGGCCCCTATCTGCAAAAAGGCTGGGGACATGATCCTGAGTTCAATCCCCAGTACTACCAAAAAATGCACGGATTAAAGATCTGTTATCATTATCTTACTCCCAATTGAATACAGTTTATCTGAGGGCCTGTACTAACCACAACCAAATGTATATATTGATGTTTTTAATTTTAATTTTAAACTGAAATGGCAATATTATGTGTTTAGGATGTTTCTTAACTCATGCAGGTTGCAATTGAGGTTCTATTATATATCATGCCACAGTAAGCTGTGCTATGTGACATTATATTCTTAAAGTGTATGATGACCTATGATTATATTTTTCTTTTGATGATGATGTCACCCATCCTTGGTAAGAAAGAGAACAATCAAATGACAACTTTGTACCTATTGGACCAACCTATTACCTGTCTTATCCTTCTGCTCTTAGAAGCCATCTAACAACATCTCAGAGATATTGCCAAAGACAATATCTGAAAAACATCATTTTGAAAATTCTTGACTACTTGTTAATGGAGCAACAAATTAACTTTTAATCAATGTAAAGACTGCCAAGCTGTGAGCAGATAGCAACAGCTTCTCTCCTTTCATCCCTTGGGAAGCTGTCTCTAACTACTGTAGAATGACAACTAAGGAAGCCAGTTGATGCTAGTAATTGCTTTCTGGTGCCTATCACTTGAAATAAACTCTGATTCAAAAGAAGTAGTATACATTGTGATCCTTCCCTTCAAAGATCAAGGACACAGTCCCCAAACATGGAGACCTTGAGACTGAGATCCACTGACTTTTGGCATCATCAACTTTTGGCTACCTCTGGTCGGGGGGCTTCTTTTCACCTCTTGCCTAGTCTGTAGCTCTGAATCAACAACAGCTGATGCCAACTTTCAGTGGGAAGTCAGTATCAGTTCACACTGAGGGCTGTTGTCACACAGAATCTTTTTGGGAAATAGACACGTCCCTCTTCCTTCAGATTTCATGTCTGTAGCTCTGTTTCTGCCTTGTCAAAAAAAATATATCCTTTGCAATTTCCTTGATCTCTGAAGAAATTGAAAACTGTTTCAAGTATCCATCAGAACCATATATATAAAATTCTAAGGGCTTCTTTTCTGTTCCTACCTTCTGTTTTCTGTAATTCTTATACATATTGATCCCCACATGCAACTAGAAGTGGGCAGGTAAGGGCTGAGTAAGTAGTAGCTGCTAGTAATTGTCTTACCATCATCATTATTCTACTCTTCACATTAAGCCACCTATGTGTGCCTTCTGATGCTGTTGATATAACTATTTTGACTTTCTCCTTAAATATTTGATGAAATGTTGCTTTATTTATTTATTTTTGAGAAAGAGTCTCACTCTGTTGCCTAGGCTGTTTTTGAGCTTGTGAGTTCAAGTGATCTTACTGATTGCCTCAACCTTCCTAGTAGCTGGGACTATAGGTATGTACCAACATACCTTCTTTTTTCTTTTCTTCTTTTCTTTTTTTTTGAACAGTGGAATGTTATTATTGTTGTTTCGTGGTTTCAGACACTTTATTCCTCTAAGGTAAACCTAAATTGTTTGCTACCTAGTCTTACTTAAATATGTTATTCTTTCTTATAAAAACTGCTGTTTATTAAGCACTCAGGATTTAGGACTCTGTGCTTTACATGAATGACCATGTTTAACTATCAACAAATCATTTTGCTAATAAGTAAATTAAATTTTAGCAAGGTTAAGTAACTTTAAATTCAGGTTCATATCCCTAAATGTTTACATTTGCAGGGCTTTGCCCTGCTCCTGTATTATTGCATTGCTAATACGTCAACTATGAGGGTTTGACTATTGCCTTCTTTTAATAAGAAAAGCTGCTTCCAGTTTAAGGTCTCTCTTTTAAGATCGGATTTCAGGAGAGATGTAGTATTGGATTTCCATTATAAAAATAAGTCAGTGATAATTCAAAGGGCAGTCTGGGTACTAGGATCTACATTCTTCCCTTCATCTGCTTCATGTTGTTTCACAAAGATACTTTCCTAAGTCTGTGAATATTTTCCAATGTAAACACCCTTTGTATTCAAGGAGTTTTGCTGCCTTTTAACAAGCTAGACCCAAAACAGAACTATTTCTGTAGAGCACTGACTATTGTCAGTTGTGCTTAGAGGATGTCATGCAGGTACTCCTCAGTAGAGTGGTAACTGAGACTGACGAACCTTTCCTTAGCGGATTCTTGTGGTAGCCATGAGGAAACGCTGTAGAGAGCTTGGCCCTTGTGTCTTTTGTCTTGTGTCTAAGCACTTGGTTCTACCACATATGAATTTGTTTAGTCATTGAAAATAGATATCTATATATTTCAGTTTGGAGCAACAATCCATGTTCTATTCTTGACATCTCTAATTCAGGTTCTTCTATGTTGCTTTATACCTGTCATCACTTTGTAATAGAAGATGTGCTGAGCCAAGAATCAGCCACAGTCAGGGAAATGTCTTTTTTTCTCTTGATCCTTGTCTTGGTCTCCCTCCCCCCCTTTTTCCCCTCTCCCTCCAGGATGGAATAAGCAGCTAGGAGGGAGAATAAAAATAGCTATGTAGATACTAAAAAATGGAAGGTGCTAAAGCTGGCCAAAAAAATAATGTTTGAGCCCTTTCTAGGTACATATTCCCTTTTTATTTACTTAATGGATAGGATATGCATTCTGCTGCTGAGACTGCTAATGTGGAAGCAAGTGTTAGCCATAGAGTAATAGCAAATCATTTATAGAATTTGTGATTTGAGACTGAAATGGAGCCTAAGATTGACATTTTCTGATTTCTTAGGATAAAGTCCAACAATGTTCTACAAGGAAAGTACCCTCCTCTTACTTACCAATTAAGGTTGGCAGTATGGGTATATATGAGAAGAAAGAGCTAAAATGTGGTTGTATCCTTAGATAGTATTTATTGGTTTCTTTTCCTTATATATTCTATATTGCTTGTTTTTGTCATTTGTTTGTATTTATATTTTATGTCAACTCATGTCATGTTTCTCTCTTTGTCTCAGATCTCTCTCCAGCACAGATTTTTTTCTAATACATTAATGCTCTAACTTACAAAGTACCATGAAATTGGGAAATTAATGTTATGAAAAAAGGACTGAAGAATAAAAAGGAGGGCTGGCAGAGTGGTTCAAGCAGTAGAGCACCAGCTTAGCAAGCACGAGGCCCTGAATTCAAACCCCAGTACCGCAAAAAAAAAAAAGTAAAAAGAAAACCAACTATGGAGAATTGTAGACAACTTAGAGAACTTTACAGGAACCTTCAAATACCCTTCCACATTCTTAAGCATTTATTGTGGGCCTACCATGTGCCAGCTATGGGTGCTGTATCAGGCCATGTTAAGATGTCCAAATTCCTACTGTTTCCATATACTTCATCTATTTCCATAACTTAGATCTCTTTCACTGGGCTTTGGTTCTTTGGTTAAGTAACTTCTTTTAGTCTGATAATCAACCTTTCCATTTCCTTTCTTCCCAAGAAGAAGACCACATTCTGTTCTTGGTACCATTTGATGGTTGAGATTGCAGTTTCCAATATAATTCTTGGTAAATAAATGGAAGTGAGAACGGCTTGTTGAATCCTGTCATCTTGCTACTTCTTTCATGATATATGCAGGTCTGGGCATTTGATTTGCTTTCAAGCTTAGCCTGTATGATGCTTCTAATTCTGCTCATTAGGTACAAGAACTGTAAGCTCATCTATTTTTCCAAGGGCTAAACTTGACTTACTTCAGACACAACTTAGACATATGGAATTTTTCTGTCTTACATAGATACTGAATGTACTGATTTCTTACTGCATTGTTCTTATGACTATTGTTCTTTCAATATATAATATAGCCATGCAACTTTCTCTTTATTGCAGAATGTGTCATAAGCTTTATGTAATTCTACATTCTAAATACATATAAACTGAGTTATTATTTTACAAAACTTCATTGCCACATTAAAATAATTCATTTTAACTTTCCTATATACTTGTTTATTGAATTTGAGGGTAGTAAATTTTAATCATTTTCATGTCTTTACAGGATAACTTCATTTCATTAAATATTTATTTCATATTTCTACAATGCTCTGCTTCATTTGTATTCACAAATTTTCTAGCAGTATTCAGTTAACATTTGATCTGTTGCTTTGAGATAATTAAATACTCATATAATCCTGTTGTTTTAAAGAAAGTAGTGTATTGATTCTTACCATCATCCACTTTTTAAAATTATTATTCTTAGGTACATTTTATATTGGAGGAAAAGGTTCACTGAACAGCCCATCACAGATTTTTGCAGTGTGATAAGAATCAATTCCACAGCTCCATCTGGTAAGTGTACATTTTGGCTACCATTTTTCCTCTACAAACCAAAATTCAAAGAAATAATCTTGCTATCTTAAATTACAATTACTATCCCTTTCACGATAACTGAAATTAAATCCCTGTTTTGTTTTGCTTTTTTGCCTAACTTGAAGAAAGCTAAAACAGAACTCCATTCCAGATGTATGTCCTCACAGGCATGCACACATATTTTTTTACATGCATGCATTTCTCTGTGTGTGTGTATGTGTGTGTGTGTGTGTGTATTCAAATGTGTTACTGGCATTTGAACTCAGGGCTTCACACTTGCAAAGCAGGTGCTCTAGCACTTGAGCTACACCTCTAGCCCACACACAGTCCTTCTGAGGAAAGTGAAAGATAAAGATACCAATTTTCTCATTTATTTTCCTATTCTCTCAACAGAAGAACAAGACAACTATTTTTTGTTATGTGATGTTTTACCTGAAGATAGAATTCTTAGAGAAGAGCTTCAGAAACAGAAACTGGTAAGAATTGTTTCAAAGGGTGAATAGTATGTTAGAAACATATGCAAAAATCATATTTGTTATTGTGCCCTTTTTTTTACTTTTTAATTGAAATTTTCAAACATGCATAAGAGGAGACAATACATAAAGGTCTTAAAAGAGAAAAAAATATATAGTTATTGAAAATGAAAGCATTTCATGTTAAAGATGCATAGAGAAACTTTGGGTTTTGTTTATTTCCTGGATTGTCTCTGAATAACATCAGAGCATGAATGTTTCACTGTAATTTTAGCTGCTTGACACATGCTAAGGTTCAGTAGTTATGGAAAAATGTCCTCAGCTAAAACTGAGTTGAATTGATTAACCTTTTTTTCTCCTTTTCACTGGAATGTGCTATGTACTAGCATTTCTCTTATCCTCCCTTATGAATTAAGAATATGGTTTAATCAACATAGTAGCCTTTCTTGTTTTCAGTCTTAACCACAGGCAGGCTAATTTGAAAACTTAAGCATCTTTAGTCTTTAAAAAAGATAAGACATATAGGGTTTGAAAATTTTCAGTTTCATAAATTAATCATAAAGTAATTTTTTAAAAATACTCACTTTCCTTTTATTTGTGATATTATTTTGACTGTTGAGATTGACTCTTTCATTCTTTAGCAGTTGTTTAAAGTCTGCCTTGTATCTTTAGACCTGGCCCCATTCATTTTGAAGAGAGATATGCTTTAAATATTTGTGCTATATCTTCAGCAGACCTAGAAGGAAAATAAATCTATGCCTGGGTCATATTGAAAAAACCATTTGAAGCACATTTTATTTTGTAAACATCCCAAGTGATTATTTCTCTTAGTAAAGGGAAGATGGCATTGTTGGATTCCAGTGTACATGTAAGAAAATAATTTTTTCCTATATAATAAATCTAGTGAAGAAACAGGACTTTCTGAGTTTCTTTATCTCCCTTATGCCAATCTACAAAAAATGGTGAATTTACCATCATATTTTATGAGTTATAAATTCATCCTTTAATATTATAGAATATCTTATTGGGCTTATGAAGATTAAGTGAAGCAACAACTCATGTAATACATTTATAATAATACCTGGCAGGTGTAAAATACCCACTAAATATTAGCTGATAATAAGTTACAGTAATAATACTCTGCCTTAACAATAAGAGGCTTTAGGTAGTTGGAAAGATGGGGAGGAAAATGCATATGGATGTAGACATTCAAGGTGTATTTGGGCAAGTCAAATATGTCTAATCTAGCTGAACTAAAATAATTCTTATGGGGAGGAGTATGAGACAGATCCAAAGAGGTAAGATGCAAAAGCTTCAGTACCTTGAATATGGACTTGGTAAAGACCCACTGTTGTGTCCTTACTGCCTATCAGAGTGACACAAAGAAAAGGTAGTAAATGTAGCTGTGTAAAGATCTATTTAAAGCTGTTCAGATTCTTGGAAAGAGCAAACCAACTTGGAGATGAGAAAGAAGCTAACAATTACTGAGTGCCAACATATGCCATGCCTTGTGTTAGGTCTTTGCTTCATTGCAGTCCTGTGAGGTAGCTACTGAATGCCATTCTACTGATGAGCAAACTATGACACAAAAGATTAGGTTGCCCAGGACCACATAGTGTATAAGAAATAGAGCTATGATTTTTAAACCAAAAGTGCCTGTTACTGTGTTTTTAAGCCATGGTGCCAGACCATTATTCAGCCTCCCACATGCGTTGTAATTATACTAGGCTCTGGGAATTACTCTGTCTTGAATGCTCATTGCCTAACAGGCCTGGACAAGGTGGGGACTCAAACTTGGACTGGAGTTTGGGAAAGCACAGATTTATAATGGCCAGCCAGTGGCATTCATGGCTAGAGAATCAACAAGCAGCAGGCAGACAACTGAACTTGTATTCAGCTGATTTTATGCTATATAATGTGGAAGCATGGGGTTGGTATAAGTGATCATCATCCTTTGGAAGTTGGCAATAAGTACATACAAATTTCTATAAATCAGTAACAGGTATTTCCAGAAAGAAGTCTAAATGCCCAAATGAGGTAACATTCAACAGAAAAAAATTACTTTTTTTTTTCTGCCAAGTTAAAAATACTAAATAGTTGCAAGAAAGCAACTATTTAGAATGCAAGAATGAAGTACTTTTTCAGCTGCTTTTAAGAATGTGAACTGGTGGGCCAGTTTGTAAAAGCACTTTTTCATCATATGTTGGAACTTTTGAAGATACTAATGCCCTTGGCTCATATTCCTAAGATACACCCAGGGACTCATGAAGTTACTTGCTCTATCACAGCTTGGTTGTTTTTACCTTATGTTGCTATTAATTATATTTCATCAATTCTTACTTATCAGAATTTCAGCCTAGTTTCTAGAAAATACAACTTAACCCAACCAATTTGCTTTATGGTAATAGACATACAACCTAGTCTATGTTTGGATGAACTCAGCTCAGTATCAACTCAAGTTCGTGAGGGAGAACCCTCAAACTAAAGTATTAGCATGTCATTTGCTCTCCTGAACTGCATTAAAGATTGCTTGTATATATATTGTTCTTGAATATTTATTCTCATTTGGAACTCCAAATAAAGTATCTACATTAACCATACCATGTATGGTTTGCCCTTAGTTCAAAATGACTTCCTTTTTTTGATTGTTTTTTGTTTTTGTCTTTGTGAGACAAGGTATTGCTAGGTAGCCCAGGTTGGCCTCAAACTCACTGTGTAGCCCAGGCGGATCTCAAACTCAGAATCCTCCTTTCAGCCTCCTAAGTACTAGAAGTACAAGCATGTGCTAGCACGCAAAATGACTTTCTGACTATTTTGAGGACAGGAGCTAGACTTATATTTAAATATCTTTCTACAGCCCTTACTATACTCCCAATTTCACATAGTCATTTTTCTCTAAACTTTGTGTTAAAAAAAAAAAAATCCCTGTTTCAGTGTAGTTAGAACAATACATCTGTTCCACTTTCTTTGAGACCCCACTGGTTTCTTAAATATTTAAATAGTTCCTAAGACCTTGTCCCCCATTCAGTGTATGCACCCTCCTCGCAGCCACCACTATACTGATGGCTGAAATTCTGGTGCTGGAAAGAGTAGACTGTCAGAGTAAATATCCACTGATTGGATCCATATACAGCTGTCATCTGTGTTCACTTCTGAACTCCAAATGGGAATTTTCTCATGTTAAACTTTTCCATATGGATTTCCAGTGAGCATCTTAAGGTTAATATGCCTAAAAACTAAACTTACTTCTAAGGTTTTATACTAAAACTTGCTGTTTACCTGTTCTTCTTTCCTTATATAATCAAACCTTCATTCTCCTGATGACTCAGATTTGAAATTTCCAGAATCATTTTTAACTCATTTCTTTACCTCACCTCTACACTCACATCATTTGTCAAATCCCACCGTTCCACCTGTGCCCCTATCCATATCCTCCCTGGCATCCTGGCACTTTTTATCTTTATCTTGTCTGTAGATGCATCTCCTCAGCCATTAACATTGCCTCCAGAATTTTTACAGTAAAAGATAAAGAACAAATCACTATTTTCAAAAACCTACAGTGTCGTAAGTACTAAAGAGGTAGCTCAAGAGGTAGAGTGCTTGCCTAGCAAGTCCAAAGCCCTGAGTTCAAGACCCAGCACAAATAAATAAATAAATAAATAAAGCATTCTTTATCACCTACATATTCTTAAACTTTTTTTCTGGCTCAAGCTGCATTTCCAGTACCCTTCATCTTTCAGTTGTCCAGTGTCTACATCATTACTTCATTCATTTATTCAACATCTGTTTATCTTGTACCAGACAGTGTTCTAAGTACCATTGCTGTAGCAGGGGTAAAGGAGCCAGTGGTGCCTGCTCTTATGGAGTTTATACTCTGGCGGAATTATGACTCGTCTCACATTTACTTGAGTGCATTGGGTACTTTCAGGACTCTGCTTCATTAAACAGGAATGCCAGTCCTACCACTCCACCTTATGGGAAATATATATCCCTAAGGCATTGTTTAAATGCCATGTTTTAAAAAAAAAAGTTTCTTGATACCACCTACCAGAATTAATAACCTCTTATAAGCTGTGACAGTACACTACTTTATTTGACTTTTTAATTATGGTCATTGTAAAATTTGTTTTCCGTATTGAATTAAACGTTTCTTAAGGGTTAGGACTGTCGTATTCACTTTTGTATCTTCTCTGAGCCTTGCTCATGAAGCATTAACTTAACTTCAATCCTGAAGTATTGGTCTATTATTTCTATAATCAAAGCCATATAGCCAAATCTCCCTGATTTAAAAAAGGGATATAAAAGAGCCAAAACAATTAATTACTGGGTTATATTTTTTCTTAAACATAAAAATAATTTGATTTTCCATTTGCCTACAAAAGAAAATGTGGCATTTATAAGCTCTCAGTAGCAAGCTGTAACTTAACTAAAGTGGGAAAAGAGAAACATCTATGCAACTGTATACAGGGTTTTTTAAAATCACTATTACAGATGTCAACTTGAAACAATATTTATGACAACTCTAAATATTTTATGAAAAATTTAACCTACATAGCAATTTGATCCTCTGGAGAGAAAGTGTGATTTGTTTTTATCCTATTTCATATCTCACCTCCCTCCACAATAAGCCAACAACAAAACGAAATTACATATCTCCCACTGAGAAGATTTCTCTTTCTCATGCCACCTTTCTTTGCAGATTTTAGCGACTTTTACTAAAGGATCAAATTATTTTCTATCAATCACTTTAAAGTAAAATATCAATTTATATTCATAAATTTTAGAACTCCCAGCATTGTAGCATAATGTAAGTTCTAGTACTGCATGGAGAATAAATGTTCCCTAAATATAAAGTTATATCTCCCACTGAATGTAACATTTATTAACAATTAAATGGAGATCAAGTTAGCTTGAATGACTGTTGTGTGATTTTTAACCTTTAGATTAATTTAAATTAATTAGTCTTTTTATTGGGAAACAAATGTAAACACATCCTGAAAAAA